GAGGACTGTTTCGAAAGAAAGGTTTATCATATTTAACAATTAAGTTTTAATGAACTGTATAAAATTTTACGAACTGTTTTGATTCATAGTGATTAGTATTGTAATATCATAGATACTGTCTGAATGTTCATACAAGTATACCTTGTAAAATACTTATTATTATTCTTTTTTTCTGAAATTGTTCTATTGCTGTTTCTAAATTAAAATTTAGTCGTTGAAATCATAATCATGCGGCGTGATGTTTATATAGTTGTTGAGCTTGTTTTTAGTGAAATGGTTTACAATTTGCAATCTGCTCGCGATGCTTTAACTCTTGCTCGAGCTTAGCAGTATATCACTGATGCAGAGTTTATTGTGTTGTACGACTGCAACTGGTCGAAACCGTTGTTTCCATACTGGAAATTTGAGTCGTTTAACGCAGATAGTTGGGATGACGAAGAATGCCGGACTAAAATGCGATTTGTCAAGTGAGACTTGCCATTATTAAAGCAACTGCTTGGAGTACCTGATAAGATTACCTGTCGACAAGGAACAACGTGTTCAGGAGAGGAAGCACTTTGCTGAAAAGATTTGCGTATCCATGCAGATACTTTGATATGGTGAGCCGGTTTGGTAGGAATCCATCTGAGTTATGTTTGATTTGCAATGAAGTGCTGGATTTGGTGTATGAACAACATCATTCCCAGCTAGCACACAACGTTATCCCAACGTTATCTAAAGGTTGTATTTAGGTTAAGTCATGACTTAACATTAATACAACGTTCCCACCACATTGTAGTTCTTAGCCTAAATGAGAACACGTTGTGTCAACGTTGGTGGAACGTCGCCAATCAACGTTCCTTATCCACGTTGTAGGAACGTTATATGCTGACATTGCCGCCACGTTGGTTAAACGTTGCCGTTTAACGTTCCTTCTCCACGTTGTGGGAACGTTTTATGCTGACATTGTCGCAACGTTGGTTAAATGTTGCTGATTAACGTTTCTTATCCACGTTGTAGGAACGTTTTATGCTGACATTGCCGCAACGTTCGATAAAAAATAATTTTTCGTTGAGGCAATGTTATATTTTAACGTCGCAGTAACGTTGTCTTACGACGTTCGGCTACAAGTGATTCAACGTTACAAAAACATTGCTTATGAACGTCGCTGCAACGTTGAAACTCAACTTTCGCAAGTGGCATATATAAATGATAAAGAAATTATTAATTTAGCAAAGATCGCATCAGTATGTATATATCATGCTCCCTGATGATGGCTCGATCTGAAAGAGAGTTGATAGAATTTCTCATAATGATAAATATATTTGAACTTGACGGTTGCCTTGAGTAAAGTTTAATTTCAGCGACCTCGTGTGTATCATATGTAGGCCTAAATAAGGCTAAGATTGTTTCAATTTGCGCCGTTTTCATAATGAAATCATACGCCGATATCGTCTAAAGAGCAAGGCCGAAATGGCAATGACGGTAAATATGATTTTATACGGTTTTTTAATTTAAATTTTGAGACATAAAATGAGTTTTAAAATGAAATGTTTTGCCCCGGCTCTATATAAAATATATAGTGTGTCGTGTGTCGACTTTGTGTTTGTTTGTCCAAATTCCTGTTATTTGATACACGTGCATTGACCGTCGGAAAGGTGGATGGAAAGCAATGAGTCCAAATATGGTCATTAATGCCATATACGGTTACTGAAATAACTGATTCGGTTGCTGGCGCCAACTGTCATTGTGCTTGCGTCGAAGCGAACAAAACGTATTGTGTGTAGACTAGCTTTTTCAAGAGGTATATTTTTCAATTTGAGTACTCGTTTGTTTGTTTGGCAACTTTCTCGACGTCTACAACGTAAGTATATATTTTATCTGTTACATATAGTTGATATGTCCCTCTTATACGCCATTGGTCTTGATAAAATTTGTGTTTGTAATTGTGTGTGATGCCATTTTAATTTGCATTTTGTAGCGACTGCGTCTGTATTAGCAGCATTATTGGAAATTCTGTCTTCTGAGATCTCTCGTGTGTTGGATTGTTTGATAAAGTAACAATTCCAGTCTTATGTAAAGGTAAACAAGTCTTATATTTGTTATAATAGAAATGTTTTCATTCGTCAATTTGAACCATTCTTTGCTATTGGGGTCAAAGGTTGAGGATTAGTCCTTTTGGGGAAAGACTTTATACTTGTATTCTGAAAATATCTTTATCATTCATCAGTCTTTCAACCACGAATAACTTCAGCAACGCATGGTTTTGTGTATTCCCAATGTATGTAATTCGAAAAATGTAAATATCACGAAACGATGCGCTTTATAATCTGTAATGGTTTAATAATGAATACACTATAACTCAAGCCAAGCTAGGTCTGGGTCTGCATGTTTAAAAGCCTGTTAATTGCTGGCTTAAAGTTAATTAAATTCAAAGACAAAGCTCTTTTATATTTGAAATTTGTCTAGATCATTTGAAGTTTCTTCTACAAACGTTTTGACATATAAAACAATTTGCATATTTGCTTCTTTTGAATAATTATCTAATTGTATTGTGTAAGTAGACCTTAACATTTTGCAGCTTCAGGTTAATATCAATAGAGGCCAGAGATTGCATATAGGCCAGTCATAACCCACTGAATTGGGATGTGCCCTGATGCCCCTACTTTAGTATTTTACTCTGCTAATGCCAAATGATTTTACTTGTTAATTAAGGGAAAATGGTGGCAGTTAATGGGTTTAACTTACCTATAGCCGTGATTATACTATGATTCTAGGCCTACTTTGGACTAGATTTTTGTAGTCTACAGTAAACACATTTTGGCGAGGTCTAGACCATGAAATCTAGACCCAAAAAGAAGAAGTGGTCCACATTTTCTGCCCTAGGTCAAATCAAAATGCGATTGATTACAAAAATCTAGGCCTAGCCTTGGCTCATAATGTAAACACGGCTTATCTGTCCATGTGTCTGGTTAACCTATTATGTAAGTCCCATTGCGGTCTATAGTGACTCAATGGGACAATTAGATACATACTGTATATAGACAGCAAATATTGAACTACACATGCATGTGGTAATACAAGGGACAAGCATAGTTACATTACAGGGGAAGTAATTTGGACTAGAGCAGAAGTATAGGGATAGAGCTACCGGTACCTTGAACATTTAAGGAAGGTCGAAGTTTTTAAATAAGAAGGGTTTCATATGTATAATATTTAAATAGGTTTGTCAGAGGAGAACAGGCTAACATAATTTAAAGTCATCAAGAGAGATGCTGTTGTCATACAGTTCTTCCTTTGACAAATGTTTCATTCATATTCATGAAAGCCTTCTTATTTCAAACTTAGACCTCCCCTGAATGTTCAAGGTATGTAGCTCTAACCCACTCCCTATGTTCTAATCCTAATTATTATGTGTTTTATGCTGGGCATTGACCTTTTATATCTTGAGATCTTTGCTCTATACGGTAGTTGTCCAACATTTCTGCAGATGCAAAGACAATCTGCAATCCATATATTTTTTCAGTCTATGTACATATACATTGAATGTATATGCACCTATCATAAATAAATAAATAAATATTAGTATCAACTATTACTATGTAACTCTTCACATATACACCAGACACAGATAAACAATGACTACCTTGCATATTTATGACTGATACCAGAGGCTGTTTTGTCATTATGGTATATGTATACTGTACATGTACAGAACTTATATATGTTCTTTTTTGTATTTCAGGATCGCAAGAACGGGACAAATCAAGCTTAGAAATGATTTAACACGTGCGAGATGACATTGTCTTTTCTGATTTCTCATATTTCTATCGCCATATATACTGTACCTATGATTTATCAATATTCGGAATGTACAGCTGATTCAAATAAGGTTGTCCTTTCACAACCTTAAACGTTAAACTTTGAGCGCGCCTATTAACCTTAAACACTAATTAAAATAATTAAATTGCCTTTCAGCAAGTATGCTTTAAAAAATCTGTCGTGAGTCTTCTATGTCTTGCCAGGGTTTTATTGCAGTCTATAGTCTAAATATGCAAAGAACCATCATCCGTTGAGCGTTCAAGGTCTAACGTTTATAGTTATAGAAGGACAACGTTAATTGAATCAGCTGTAAGTAAATAAGATAGTGTAATTGTTGTAAATCAAACAATTTTCCAAATACAGGTATTACACCGAACACTTTGTTTTTAACTCGTTTATTTACGCCTTTCAGTAACAATGTTTTGTCAACATATTCGTTGCAAGAACCTGCCACGATTTTATGCTGGCGAATTTTAGAAGTTAACTTGGCTGTTTAATATATTCTTACAACGTTAATTCCAGAGGTTTTCTGGACGTTAAACGAACATTGCAGAAACGTTGAACCAACGTTATGTTCTAACGTTAATTCCGACGTTGTCACCACGTTCCTGCGAGTTCACAAAATAACGTTCCCACAACTAATAACACCACGTTATCTTAACGTTCATACAACGTTTTTCTGAACGTTAACTTAACGTTGCTGGAACGTTGAACCAACGTCATGTTCTAACGTTAATCCCGACGTTGTCTCCACGTTCCTGCGAGTTCACAAAAAAACGTTGCTACAACCTATAAAACCAACGTTGTCTCAACGTTCGGCGAACGTTCGTACAACGTTCGTACAACGTGATTGTGCTAGCTGGGTTATCGCCTTGACAGCTGGAATCAGCCTTTTTTGACACCAGAGATGCTTCAGAGTTATGCTGATGCTATTCATCATAAGGGTGCCCCATTACAAAATTGCTTTGGGTTTGTGGATAGAACTGTTCGGAAAATTGCACGGCCAAAATACAACCAAAGGACTATGTATAATGGTCACAAGAGGGCTCATGCCATAAAATTTCAGAGTGTTGTTGTGCCAAATGGTCTAATTCCTAACCTCTCCGAGAGAGTTACCCCTTGAGAGTTCACCTGCAGGCACCATTTAGGGATAAACAGCTGACACCAGAGATGAGAGAATTTAACATGAAGATGAGTAATGTGAGGGTAACTGTTGAGTGGATGTTTGGAAACATTACTAAGTACTTTAGCTTTGTTGATTTTAAGAGGCAAATGTAGGTAAATTTAAGTCCGGTTGAAAAGATTGATAGTGTGGCCGCATTACTACAGAATGCTCATACCTGCTTGTATGGGAACATTGTTTCTCATTTTTTTAACCTTCCACCACCTTCAATCCATGAATATTTCTAGCAATAACACTTACACATTTACTAGGTTATTGGGTAGTTAACAGCCCACCAGTTTATAAACAATATATGTATTTCACGAGTTTCCATGGCAATTTATAATGAATTTATTTAATGTTAAAATTCATGGTAATTGATTACAACAAATCATTTAATGTTGAAAATGTTACTATAAATATACAAATGAAAGAAACTTATTTTTTAAGATGAAAATGTAATATAATTAAAACTATTTTTTGAACATGTTCACCAACATTTGTGTTCGCTGTTGCTGTTGCTGCATCAAGGAAACAATTTGCTGCTGCATAAAACTGAATTCTTGTTTCTGCTGCTGCTGCTGCTGCTGTTGTTGCATTTGCAGTTGCTGCTGAAAGTACTGCTCCGATAGCTTCATCTGCGTGATAAATTGCTGCTGGGTTTGCTGCATCAGCTGCAAAGTTTCCATGTGTTGCCTCTGTTGCCCTTCCATATATGCTCTCTTCTCTTCCTGCTTTACCTCTTTTTCTTCTTTCTCCACTCCGATAGCTTCATCTGCACAATAAATTGCTGCTGGGTTTGCTGCATCAGCTGCAAAGTTTCCATGTGTTGCCTCTGTTGCCCTTCCATTTATGCTCTCTTCTCTTCCTGCTTTGCCTCTTTTTCTTCTTTCTCCACTTCTATTCTTTGTTGTAGCCATTCCATCATATCACCAGAACTTCTTCTCTTTTGTACTTGTCCAGCAGTTTCACTTGTCCCTGCAGTTGTCTTCTTTGTTTGTCGAATTCTTTCCATTGCCCTTTCTCTCATTTCCAAGGCTTGTCCTCTTTCTTGCTCAATCCTCTGATTTCTTACTTCATTTTCATCCTCCTGTCGTTCAGTTTCACCTTCAATGTCAATCAGCTCTTCCAACAAGCGCTCCTGCTCTGAGTTCATTACCACCTTCCCCTGTCGATCTTTCCTCTCGTTCCATTCTTGCTCGATACTTCTTGGTCATCATGTTGAAGTGATCTCTGACTGCCCTTGATGTGAATTCGTGGCCCAACCCACTTATTATCTGCAACATTCTGCCACTGTGCACCACGTTCCCGGGATCTCTGTTTGTGTGTGAGTACACCTTCTGCTGCAACTTCCTTTAGAAGTGTGAGATCTTTCTCATTAGACCATACCATACTGGACCTAAGAAAAAATATTGAAGGCTGAATGAGCAAACCCACACAACACTGCATGTATAAAGTTCAAGTATGCATAGTATGACAAAATATTAGTTACCATTTGAATTGTATTATTTTATTAATTTGTACTTTAAATTGTACTTTATATTAAACTTGATAGTTTGTAATGATGTTACTATGTATTTTGCTTACTTTTTCTTTGAACAATCCTTTTTCTTTTCCATATTTGGTTTTCTAAAAGGACCACCATTAAATCTAAAAACAAAATATATAACATAAATATAAAAAGCTTATTTAGCAATTATACGAGCCGATATTTATACACAATTATAACATCCTCGATAAAATCCATCTATATAAACAAATCCATTTGTAAATCCGAGTTTGTATATAAAATGAAACTGTAAAAATTAAACTTTCTTTAAATCCATATTTACACAAGTTAGAGAAAAGAATATCAGTAAATATGAACATGAAACATAAAAGGCCGCTAGCAGAATTTGTAATACAAACAGCTCTTAAACTTTGTTTACAAGATGCGAAACCGGAAAACGAATCGAATTACTTATGCCATAAATGAAATAAATACGCATATTATTTTAAAAATAACAATAAAACAATGACTAATGACATCATTTATACATTTATACTTTGTTGTCTACATACCTTTTCGCAAGGACAAAAACAACAAAAACTTTGACGTCCTAGACAGGACGTGAAAATTCGTTTTCGGCGTCCTGAAAATAGGTAAGACGACGTCGCCATCTGAGACAACGCAATATTTTTGCGCCATATTACGCTATCTCGCGTCCTCTTAACGTCACGTCCTCGATCTAAGTCTGTCTAATGCCGTTGTGAACAGAACTTCAGCAAACGCGACATCGTCAACTTAAACTCGATCCAGTCCAACCGCGCAAAATTCAACGTTGCCGTCGCGTTCGCGTTGCGTTTCCCAAACTCACTAATGTTTTCTCCGTACCGCCGGAACCACAAAAGAAAACATTGTGGCCTGCCAAAGCAAGGTCAAGAACATTCGTTTGTTCTTGATTGAGCAGTTCACCCCTAGGGATACAACGTTCAAGAATCTCTATTCGTTATAAAGATAGTATATAAATCGCCCGAAAAACATTACTAAAATAACATTCTCAGCGTTCGTTTGGCATATATCATACTTACATAACTTGGACTGCTGACAGACATAGAATATATCAAATCCAAATAATGTTTCTATTGCGGAAAGACATTTGTCTCTGTTTACTCCACTGAGCTATATAATAACTCCTGGAGGATCGGCTCCTAATGTTTTTTGCTCAAAAAGTGAAGCAAAAAACATGGCGGATTTTGGCCTCTGTTACGTCATTTTGACGTCACCTGGTCCCCTTTGCCCATAGTAATACCACTGACCAGGCTCAATTCTGAGCCCGCTACAGTAATTCCCCCCCTGGTTTTTATGAATATTTTGTATTTTTGTTTCTTCCGACTGCCTTGAAACCTTGTTGTTCTGTTTTTTCGATATATTTTTTACCTAACGCGTAATAAAGCGTTTATTTCGGTTATGTACAAGTCATAGGTACTGTTTTTGCCAATGCCGAAACAAACAAATATTGGGCGAACATAAAAAAACTATTTAATACGTGGACAAAGTCGAAAATTTTACAATGATATGAAGCTGAAAGGTTTTTTCTCTTTTCTTTGTTTTCAATTTCAATATACATTACTGTATAAAATTTTTTTGGTACCGTCGTAATTCTTTAATGTCTTTTATGGATACCAATCTGATTTTTCTTAAACCCTAAAGTAAAAGATTACAGAAAGTATCCAGTTATGTTGTCTTGTGTCCATGCCTGTGCATATTAAATCCAAAGAATCAAGGCCTAAGCTCATGCAAGATATTGGGCAGCAGATTAGCAATTGTACTGAGTGGGGGGGGATACAATAGTTATAACCAGAAGTGATATTTACATGGCATAGGTCATACCTTGTGCCTCAATGAGCTACAGACGATGTATACGCTTTTTGTAATGCACCTTAGTTTAAACCTGTAAATGTGTCATTGATGATTGATTGATGATTCAGTCATTGATGATTTGTATTTGATATGAAATTATACCTAATAGCAGGAGTAGTAAAAATACAATAGCCTAATGAATTCACAAAAATGCAACTGTGCTTGTTCACCCCTCCATTAGTCAGTCTATTATCCAAAAACCCTGATTAGCCCAATAATTTTAGCCTTTAATGGTGTGTGGGGGAAATGCATTGTCCAGGAAATTATAAAAGTTGTTGCAGATTGAAGACACACTGCTCAATTAATGCATGTTTTCATGCATTTATTTATTATTTTTAATCGGAAAAACCATTGTAAAAAAATGTCAGCCAACAACAGCCAACAACAGCCAACAACAGCCAACAAGTCTATATAGTAAAATTATCAGTACAATGTTCCAGTAATTTGCATAACAAGCCATCTCTTGTTAAATTCTATAGCATCTTCATCCTGAAAAATGGAGATCTTATTAAGATTAACTGTATTCAATATATACAGTACTTTGCACCCAGAGAGAATAACAATAATACTAATCATCATTAAGAGCAAATTAAATGTAGATTGATTATAAACAATTTTGCAAGAAGTCCATTAAACCATGATAAATTGACTTTTGACAAGGCAAACAAGATAACATATTAGACCTTTAACAGCTGCTACAAGTCTACCAGAGGTTGAATCTTAGAGTGAAATATTTTGTATCAGCAGTCAGCACCTCAAAATTCAAAACATTAATTGCTGATAACTTTCGCCTGACACAAAAAAGTTTTCCTATGAATCCTATCGTAATTAAGTCACGTACTAAAGAACAAAAAGGCCAATAAAAACATATAACTATTTATCCAGACGCTTTTGCAGTTGTTTATGCTATAGTCCGAAGGCAAAAAGAAAAATAATTTGAAAACCGGCTCACCTGAGGCAAAAATAGCTTTCCCGATAAGTGAATTAAGCCATTCACAACGTCATATGTAGAGCAAGAAGCCGCTTCTCCATTTACTTTGTCGAACAGGGAAAAAGATAAACAATTTTATCTTTTTTAGAGCAAATACGAAAAAAATATATACCAAAAATCAAATATATTTTCGTAAAAACCAGGAGGGAGACACATAGTTTTTTACTTTGTATCGCAGTATGCCAGTGGTAATTACCATGAGCAAAGGGGACCAGGTGACGTCACAAAGCTCAAAATCCGCCATGTTTGTTGCTTTACTTTCTGACAGTGAACCACTGAGCTATAATATAATTCCCATAGAGATTATAAATAAACACTAGAGAGGTCATCGAGGAGAAATTGGGGAGCGCGTTAATGGGGGGCAAATTCAAGTCCCGGATGTTCACTCATTCACGATGTCCGAGGCCAAAATAAGTCGTTTTTAACGAGTTTTTTTGGTTTCTAAATGTTTTTCTGCCTAAAATATCATTTCAGGATGTCTAAATTAGTAAAACCAGTTTCAAAAAGCACTGTTTTTCCTTAAAAAACCGGCAAAGCGACCAAAATAACGAATATAATTTTTTTAAAATCGTTGTTAACGTGGTTGCTAAGGAGGCATTGATCTAGCCAATCAGCGCTTGGCTTAGCATCCGGGACTTGAATTTGCCCCCCATTATCGCGCTCCCTTTTTTGACTGATGTTTCTGATACCAATGCCTCCTCTAGTTTTTATTTATAATCTCTATGATAATTCCTGGAGGACCGGCCCGCGACCAAAAAGTGAAGCAAAAAACATGGCGGATTTCGGCGTTTGCTGACGCTAGATTGACGCCACTGATTCCTATTCGCCATGGTAGTTACCACTGACCAAGGCTCAATTCTGAGCCTGCTACAAATGCACTCCCCCCTGGTTTTTGTTAAAAATAGTATTCAGTTCTCATTATTATATTTTCCGAAAAAAATTTAAACGTCAGTCAATATTTTTGAACTGAAAACTTTTTGATCAGATATGTTCGACGTTTTTGTGAAGATATCAAAGTCGTACACGTTACTTCTGTCAAAAACAGGAAACAAATGACAGATAAATAATAAAACTTCAACGAAAATGCAGTTGTGACTGACAGGTAAATATATTATTTATAAATTTCATTTTTTAGATAAAATTTCACCATTTTTTTTCGTTAACAGTCTTTAGATAGATGTCGTTGTTTATATATTTTAATATTTGATTAAAAGACGGCGGCACGAGAAGTCAAATGTATAGTTTGAAGTTTGAACAACTACTAAAAAGATTACCCCATACTTTGGAAGTAATTTATTTTACATATTACATACATATATTACAGGCATTTTCTTCCAAAGAACGCTAAAAGGTAACATGATGTAAATTCAAGTCCAAAGAAACAGAGGCTAAGAATCATTGGGAGGATGAAGATGTGCAATTTCAACCAAGGGTAGCCTGCCTATTTGTTTAGCTGGATTTCATTAGCCAGAAGAAATAGTTTTTCTGTACTGAACTATATCAGCATATATCATGAATATTGATGAGCTTTTTAGCTTAAACCTATAAGGATGAACTATTAAATTGAAAGCTTCCAGCAGTCAGCACCATGCAGTGGTCAGCACTATAATTGTCTGACTGCACAGGCTATGCTCTTTCCATGGTACAAAACCAATAATTATGGCCCCTGTGCAGGTCATATGCTTTTTTATATTTGCAAATGATAATGCAGAGGCTGCATTAAGGAAGATTAGAACCACGGATGTTTATAGGCCAAGATAGCCATGGTAATTATTATTGATTATATGCAAAGGGAAGTTACCAGCTTCTCCAGATTAGCCTGCAATGACTCGAAATTTTCTTTGGAAATGAAATAAACAAAGTCTTACCAATTGTAATATTTATTTTCTTTTAATGAAACATTGTATTTTGTAAAAATAATAAAACAGTTTCTGTATTTTAGAATGTGTTTAGTTCATGGGTATAATAGTATGGTTGTCTCATTTTAATTCTCCAGAATTTTGCATAACATGCCTCCACTTGATCTACCAAACCCTATGTTATCCCTGCAAAAAGAAAGATATGCCAGAGATTAACTGTATGTATAATACACCCTGTAAGTGTTGACAAAATTAGTACAGATAATTTAGTGTCAGCTACTGAGGCCATGATGATGCCTCAGTTGGAAGTGTGAGTGAATTTAGGCAAGTTATTCTCAGACCTTGCTCCTTCAGATTATATTTTTGTTCCTGTCATGGATTTAAATCAGTGTAAAATATAATGGATAAACAAATATTAACAGAAATATGTTGTAGTTAAACAAATTAAATGTTAGTAAATATATCATTTCTGTTTTCAGATCTTTCATAGCCGTCGAACTACGAAGCTATATTTTTTACTTGACGTTCAGAGTTCAAACATCAAAATTGCGAAAGCCTTTTTAAAACTCTTACCTGAGTGTAAATCGCCAAAAATTTCCTCTTTAATGAGTAAATTGCGGTAGGAACAAGCAGAGCAAATAGCTGCTTCTTTGTTGAAGTTGAAAAGAACCAGCAAAAAAAAAAAAATCCATGTTTTTGTTCAAAAACAAAAAATTTCGTAAAAACAAAATCCTGTTTTTATCGAAAACCAGGAGGGTGCTAGCATTTTTTCATGCTTTGGATCGCGGTTGGTCAGTGGTAGCTACCATGGCAAATAAGAACCAGTGAACTCTAATAAGACTGGAACGATAACTGTATACCAGCGCGCTCATCTATCGGTGAAGCCAAGTTTCCGGCCTGTTCGCAGGTATTTCGCGGGGAGTTCGCGTTCTTTCTCGCGGGGTTTCACAGAAGATCGAAGGAAAAGCTAAACGAAAGCATGGTTTGCGAAGGGTTTTTTTCCGATTTTTTATCCGATATTTGCGATCAATCAATTGAAGAAGAAATATTATCCAAAGTAAATTAATCATGGACATCTGTACAACTTTGACAAGGAACAAGAAAGTCGTTGTTGCGAAAAGTTGATCGACCAAACACAAAATATGATGCTCGAAATTATGTTTGTGAAAGACAAAGATTTATTTTAAAAAGGGCAACGATGTTTCAAGGTGAGATG